CTTAAATTTTCTCTAACTGTTGAAGGGTAAGGGGAAACTAGCACTTTGTTGCATTTGCTGAGATAATTTTTTTTTCCTTTGCCTTGGTTTTGTTTCATTTTGCTTCTAAGGCCTTTGATAAATAACTGCATAAATCTGAGTCCTCAAAGCACCTTGACATTGGCACCCAGAGCTCTGCAGTTGTGTGTGTGGATACAAGCATGTACATGCAGAAGCTGGGTCATTAGACATGCAATCACCTGGATTATGTGCACATCCAAATCCAGAAGTCCTCTTTAGGCTACGGGTGTCTATTTCTGTGGGGTTTTTTTTTGTTGTTGTTGTTTTGTTGTTTTGGTTTTTTCTTTTTAACAATAGCTGCTTTTACTCCTGGTAAATTAAGATCGTGCAGTAATCGTTTGGGTTTATGTGGGCTCTTTGAAGAGATGTAACTTCTGAAATAACATTTGCTGGTTTGTTTTTTAGCCTTGCATCTCATGTGAAAATTCAGCAGTGGTATGTTTGTTCCCAGTTGTTTTCGTAGGTGTGCACTCTCCCCTTATATTTGCTTATGCTTACTCATAAGTAATAAAGTTACACGTTCAGGAGTGCTGTTTAGGGAAACTCCGCAAAGGAATGCTTCAAAGCTATTACCCAGCATGTGTATACACTGCGAATGAAGTTCAGTAGACATCAGATACAAATTAAAAGTCTATTTCAAATGATTGATGTTATTCAAATTATTAGAGATTATTCCTCCTCCATTCATCTTCATACTTTACGGGTTATCTAATAAGCGGTGCCACCAAACCTGGGATATAGCAAACTTAAAATGGTGGTGTGCCTATGAAGGTGTCAAGCAGTCTTGAACTCACATGGAACTGTTCCACTGTGGCCTTTAATGTCACAAGATGCTTAAGCATGTGCCTAAACGCACGTGCGTGAGTAGTCTTATTAAGGTCACTGGTACGTCTCATGCCTGTAAAATTAGGAATGTGCTTAAGTACCTTGCTGAATTAAGGCTTAAGTAATTTCACAGTAATAAGAAGTTGCATGGATTGCTGATATTTTAGAAGTAATTTAACTTTATAGTAATCTAACTATATTTAACTTTATTTGGAAACACGCTGCATGTAGAGAGAGTGTCTGGCAGTGCCTTAGGAGCAGCAGCAGAATTGCAGTGGTTGTCACTAGCGTAGCCATTGATTTCAGTGGAATTTTGTCTGACTTCAGTACGTTGTAAACGAGAGCAAAATCAAATGCCATGTTTTTTTGTGTTAAGTTCTTTCTCCTGTGGAGTTCCATTGGGTATCACGGCAAGGGAGAAGAATATCAAAAGTGTTGTTGTAATTTATAACAGTAATGTTGTAAATAAAGATTGGGATATGAAGTAAAAATGCAAAAGTCACGAATACTCTTCATGAGTTATTTAACTGTATAGCACCCCATTAATTAAAAAAATTAACAGAAGGTATTTTTTGGAGGCTTAGTGTAAACAGCAACATTGTATAATGACGGATTTGTAGGATGAGTGTTGCTTGTTTGGTTGCTGCATTCTGTATTTTGTTAGCCATGGTCCCTGCATTTTCACAACATAAACTGTATTTGCAACCTGTTTTAAATAGTGCAAATAGATCTCTTTTTTTCCCCCTATAAAAGCTATATATTGTGTCTGTAGAGCGTCTGTAAAGTCAGTGTCGTGTCTCAGACATTTCTGAAGCCTCGGGCAAGTGCCAGCTTTATTACAAGTTGGGCTTTTCAATTTATTTTTAATCATATCTCTTCTTTTTCTTTTAAGGGGTTTTCTTTTTTTTCCTTTTTTCTTTTTTTTCCTGGGCTACTGAAAGTAAGGCTGGTAAAGTGAAGGCTGGAGAGAGTTAGGCTATTTAATCTATCTGGCAATGCGTTGCAAAACTCATCAGTACGGTTCTCCCCTTCACCTCCAGCCCTCACAGAAGTGCGTGTTCGCAGGCAAACGGAGGAAAAGGATGCAAGAAATGGATATCGTTCCTTGTGTTCTGTGTGCTGACCTAATCCTGATTCCCATTTAATGACCATAAGGATTGAGGAGTGGGATTGTTACAGACAGAAACATAGCTGGGCACGCAGAAGGCGGTTGCATGCCTGGAGATGGGTCGTTTTTGCTTACTAGAACACTGTATTTCCCATCTTGGGTGACCTCTTTTGATCAAGCTTCAAGGCTGAACTAATTCTTATATGCATGTTTGGGGCCTTCTTACCTTATTAAATGAAATAAGCAAGTTTTTGAAAGGATTTTGTTCTTTTCTAGCAAGAGGCATCATTAAGAGGCATCGCTATCGAGGGGCACAAAACAAATGTTTCAAATTTGGAGATGCAGAGCGAGGTCACAGTTTGCCTCCAGAATCTGAAGTAATCAGGATTTTATTTCAGATAAAACCTCTGGGGCTGATACTTAAAAAACACAACTTTTAACTGGCATTACGCAATTTGCTATGGGTCGCCTACCCAAATATTTGTGTATGGGTCTTTTTTTTAAAAAAAAAAAGATTTGCCAAAGTTCAGGTGGGATCAGGCTTTAACAAACTCTACCTGGAAATTAAGTGCAGGAAAGGAGAGGGGAAAAAAAAAAAAATCTTTGTCTATTTGAATTAGAATGATCACAAGCTAAAGGAATGTGGTTGCTGTTGACGTGCTCAAATTAAGTTTTCCTTAAATTTTCCTTGTTACTATCACTGATACCAAAAAACCTCTGCCAGGAAAGAACTGCAACACTAGTGAAATGTTGTAAGACCACTGACTGTCTGACATTCATGCTTTTTTCTCCTTTTTCCAGTAATCAGTGAGATGCGTGCTAAAATAGGAGTAGGGTCCCTAGCTGTTCACAAGGGCTGTGTGGGCAGCGGGTGGCTCTTCCCTGGTACCTTCTGGCATCCTTAAGCAGCAGCAGACCCACTACTTTGGGGGTTTTGGCTGCTCTCTCACATAGGAAGCTAGGACATGTGTGTTTTAAAACCATCATTGTTTCGTATTTTTGTTTCCACATAATTAAGTGATTCACTGAAGGAGAAAGGTCAGACAGGCACAGGGAAGGAGAAATGGAACTTGTTATGAAGTAGTGGGGCCCAGCATCTTGCAGGAAAAATCAGAAATAATATGGGGTATAATTCTCCTATGCATTTGTAGCAGTCAGATCCTCAAAGTCCAGTCTCGGCAGTCTCCAGGAGACTTTTTCTGGCCTCTGCTTAAATGAGAAACTTGATCTAAAGATGAGCTCACCTAGGAAAAGCTCTGGTTTGGGGAGAGTGGCTGTAGTTTATCTTTACTTTGTTGTATTGCATTACGTACCCGCTCCTATACTATGTCAGTCCTCTTCTTCAAACTCAGAAAGACGGACAGGTGTGTATGCAAAGCAACTGTTCTGGATTCTTTTGGAAAGTCCACAACGTTTTTGATGAAGAGGCTGATTAAGGCACTGCTCTGTCACTATTAATTTTATCTGCAGTTGTAGGTTAAGTGCAGTATTTTTCTTCGGCAGTTTGTGTGCCGTGGTGCAGTAAACAGTTCCCACTGGGAGCGTGTATTGCGCTTGGCGTGTACATGCGGAGCGGGTCGGCGTGGGTGAAGGTGTCAGATCTGCTGAGCATGCACGCATGGGAGCTCCGGTTTTGTGGCAGGGATGTTCTGTGGCTGGAAGAAACCATGCGGTCTACTGCCTGGAAAAGCTGGCCGTGGCACTCACTTGTAGCGGGAGGTGAAGCACTTTCTGTAAGGTCACAGGGAGGGTTTGTTACAGATAAACCTCCCTAATCCTGCATTTTACTGTCTGTTCATGTATTCAGAGTTCTCTCTGAGTAGGTGTGCTGGTTTCTTCACAGCCGTCATCCCAGACATGGTATTTGGGTAGCAGAAGCATTTTTTTGTTCAGGGAAAACAGTCTACTTCATTGCCTTCCCATAGCTGTAATGCTATGTTACAGAACCGAAAGAAAAACTCTCCAAGTCAATAAAAAACAAAAAGCAGACTTATCTTTTATAGTGTTCTTGAAACAAATGTAAGGTTATAACACTAAAGCAGGTTTTATTAAATCTAGGCATGAATCCATACTGAAGAAATAATCCACTGCTGCTTTTCAGCTTCTTGTCTTTTTAATTAGCCCTGGCAATGGGATTGTTAGCTTTTAAGATATGGTAAATACGAGCCTATTAATATTATTGAACGTAATACTCAACAAGGTACAGGGAATGCTGGTAACTAGATATTTTATAGAGGAGCTAAAAGCGGGCTGTTTTCTGTTCGACAAGTCTTCCTTTACGACTGCCGGGGTGAAGCCCGTGATGGCAGCCTTTCTCCCGCTCCCTGGAGCAGCCGTCCCCGGAGCAGCCGTCCCGTCCCGGCGGGCAGCGTGGGACCCCTTGTCCCTTAGTCCAGTCTGACGGGGTGGGTTTGAGCCCCTTTTCACAACACGGTGAGCGCTGGGAGTTTAAAATAGTTCTGACTCCTCCTTCTCCTTGAGAAATGATTCACCAGTTCCTCTGATTAATGCTTTTTGAAGTGTTTTACTCTTGGTTCCAGTCTCTTAACTTGGGCAAGGACTGGATTATAAGGGTTTAGCAGTGATTAGCTCTGTTTACAGTTTTTTTTTTTTTCTTCTCTCCAAAAGGTATGGTGTTTGCTTTGCTGAGGGGTTTTATTTTGCAGAGTTTCTGTTGACCACCTGCTTTTTTTCCTAATTGGTTACAAGGACAATTGCTAGGCATAATAAATAAAAGATACGGTCTTCCAAGGCTGTGCCATAGGGACTGTACGTCAAAGATTCATAAACTGCGAGCAAAAATACATGCCTTTCCCTGGGGGCAGGGAAGCGCCTGCCGTGTTCACGTTTGGGGATCCTTCCAAGGTCACCGAGAGCCCCCAGTAGTAACTTCTCTAGCGCTGGCTGATGGCCTTGCTGGGCGCTGCAGCCACACGCAGAACTGGGCAGCCCACCAGCCCAGGTTTGGTGTGAACTCCTCTCTAATCTTACACCTTTTTCTCTGTAGATTTTGGAAGAATAGGCTTTTTCCCCCAGCCTTTCTGTGCAGACCAAAGGCAGGAGTAAGCGTATCTTTGACGCTCCTGAGTCTGGCCGATACGTGTCTCACCGGTCTATTGGTGGAGGTTTAACTGCTGCCCAGGCAGGGTCTTCCAGTGCTTAACTCTCTATTAGGAAGCTTCTTCCCAATGCCTGACCAAAATGCTTATCCTTCAAGTACAACCTCTTCCCTCTTGCTGTGTCTGTAACAAGGGGAGAGCAGATTGTCTCCTTTCTCTCTACAGCATCCTTTTTCATATATGAATGCTGTTCCCATGTCTGTGCCCTCCATCTTCTCAGAACTTAAGCAATCTTAGCTCTGTCCTTGTAAAGCCTGTTTTCCAGAGCTGTGGACATTCTGGTCACTGTCCCCTGGGCTCTCTCCAGTCGGTCTTGTGTTCATCTTGAATTGCAGTGCTCCAATGACACGATCCTCCAGCTGAAGTCTTGCTGGAGCAAGTGGAGACAGTTAATTTCCCAGTGTATAACTTGCAGGCAGTGCTCCTGTTTATGCATCTGACTGTGGTACGTGTCATTTTTGCAACAGCATGACCCTGTTGACTCATACTCAACTTGTGATCTGCTGTAATCCTTAGGTTTTTGTTTTCCCCAAAGAAGTGCTGCGTAATCAGTTGTCTTTCTTACTGTATTTACAAAGTTTGGGTATTCCAGCTGAATTGTAGCATCTTAGAATTTATTCATTACAAATGCCATCCCATTTTTACAGACAATTTCTTCACTATCTCCTCCAACATCTTTGCAGTCACTCCCCATGTAGCATCATCCCCAGATTTTCTGAGTTGTCTGTTCCTTCATCTGTGTCGTTCTTAAAAAAAGACTGACTTCTTCAGCATGTTTGCTGTGAGTGACCCATGGATACTTACACCAAATGTACCGTAATTTTGTTAAGATTATGTTTTCCTAGCTTGCACGTATGAAAATGTCTTTTGAGATACTATCAGAAGTCTTTACAGTCAACATAGGGGACCTCTCCTGTTTTTCCTCTGTTCAGAGACCTACAAATGGATACATGTTTTCCCTTTGATTTTAAAAAATTACCTGCATCTTGGACTGACCTGTCATCTGCACCTGACATTCAAAACAGTGTAGACATACCCGTGTCGCCTTCCCTGGGCAGGACAGAGCAGCGGGAAGAGCAGCCAGCCAGCACCTGGCTTGTTCCAGCCTCTTTACAGCTATTGCACCAATTAACCAAGCTAATGAAAAGTGAGATTGTCGGAATCTTATTAACAACATAACTCACCCCAGCCAAACCTCAAACAGCTACAGGTAAGATGCATTCACAGGGGCAAAAGTAGCGCTCACGAAAAATACAAAATGTCAAATCTCAGTTAACTGGTTTTCCTAGTGGAAGCTCAAACTTGATTTGCATAAAAAGAACACCCCAGGAGGGATGCGCTTGGAGACCCCTCGCAGCAACCCATCCCTGTTTCTTCTTGTGTATCCCATTTCATCTATTGGTTCTTCCAGAAGCACAATCTTAGCCCGAGGAAGTCTCTTTTCTGTTGTTTTCTGGCCAGAATCTGCTCTCAGAAGCTGCTATCTTTACCACGCATCATGTCCCTCCATCTCCAGTCTTGTATCAGATTGTCCTTGGAGCAAAAGATGAGCAAATGAGTGTGTCTTCCCGTTTAATTGCGTATGTCAATGATAAATCTTTTGAGAAGACTCAGGCCACATGTTTCTGAGTAGGCTCCATCTCAGACTGCATCCTGATCCCTGTCCTTCATCAGTCTCTCAAATCTGAAGGACAAAACAGAAGCTTTAAAGGGGGATGTGGGGTGGGGGTGTGAGTGTAAAATCTCATTTCATGTTTCATGCACAGAGTCCGTCCAGAACCCCCCAGTAATAACTGCCATAGCTGTGCCTCTGTCGTTTGGAGGCCACTGTTCCCGTCTTTGCCAGCTCTCTGTCGTCCACAAGACAAGACATCTGCAGTACATTTGTTTAAAGCAGGGAGATGACAAGCATTGAAACAGATGTTGGAAAACAGAGCAGCAAAAGGCCTGCGCTAAGTGAATGGCCCATCGGGCCCGAGCTGTTTGATGGCTGATTACGGCGTGAGCCAACTGTTCGTTCAGAGCAGGCTGAACCCAGGAGATCCCTCTGGTAGGAGATGTACTTTGCCAACATGCGGTGCTCCCTTTGTCACCGTACCTTTTCAGATGTGCCCAGGGAAAACACAGGGAGCGGGATCATCATTCAAAACCCCGTAGTTCAGTAACACTCTGGCTTATCCAGGCTGAATTGATTCCTAGTTACGAGTTGAACCATTGGAAAGCATCAAGAGTGTGTCTCGGCATCCAACAGCCAGTATCACTCATTAGTTTGAATGAAAAGCCTGTATGCAGGCTTTATCAAAGCTACAGAGAGTTTTATCGTGATCAACATAAAATAATATTCTGTCTGAAACCTCTGCACCACATTGCCATACAAAAAGCAGCTAATGTCTAGTGATCCTTGGTATATGAAGCAATTCAGGTTTATCACAAGCTGACATATTATGCTTTGACAGCAAAGAATCCCTTTCGTACCTGATCTCATGTTTCCTAAGACCAGCTTTTCACCTTCTCTGATCTTGTCTTTAGGAGCCGATCCCCTCGTGCTGGGGAGATAGAGCTATTGTTAAATGAACTCGTGCAACCTGGGAGTATTTACTTGTTAGTAACCTTGGGCGAGATACAAACTTGCCGAGTAAGGGAGCCGGATTGGGGCTCGGTTTGTTGAGGCCTGTGGATGGGAGGTGGGTGGAAAACTGGCCCCTACCAGAGGAAGAAACAGCCCTTTATGTTCTCCTGCGTGGTGGGCAGAGACAGCCCTCCATGAGCGGTGGGCATCAGCAGGTAGGACTGCGGTGTCTGAACAAAGCCACCGCAGCTTTTCAGGGAGTCTCCGGCATGCTGTCCTGTGAGGTGACACTGCTTTTGTTTTTTTAAGTGACACAGCAGCTACCAGTTGAAGGATTGATCATCTTCCGTGGAGAGGAATGACTTTTTTTTTTCTCTCTAGACCCTTGAAATCTCCCTATTCAGGGTCAGCAGAAGAAAGGCTGACGACTGGCTGGGGATGCCGCTGAGGTCCCTTAAGGCCAGAGGCACACAGGAGAAAACGAAGCCCAGGGCTGTGCTGGGGAAAGTACTCGAGCACGTTGGGAATACACCCGAGGATCTTCTGCATAGGCATTTGCTTAGATTTGTGCTCCGAGCATCTGATTTGGTACTTGCTGTATTTCTACCAGTGATCCACCCCGTGCAGCCAGCGGAGGTGGTGATTCCACTGCAGTCGTGTCTCGCTCGCGTGCCTCGGTCTACCTTCCACGCGGACACTCAGGATCCTGCACGCTGAGGACGCAAGGGCTGCCCCGTTCTCCAGGGTTAAGACGTGGTCAGGCCCCACGCTCGGTGCTTTCCCGGAGCAGGAGGGGCTCCTGTGCCGGGGTGCACCCCGGGTTGGCACCGATGGAGGGATCAGCGGCACGCCCTGTACGCTGGCATGGCATTGCTGATAGGCGTTGTGCCTCAGAGATTGCGCCATCCGCTCCTGCCTTAACTAAGGGAAAGGAGGACGGGGTTCTCCAGGCTGTTTGAGCTGCCTGCAGATGTGCTGTCTGCTAATGAAAGGTTGTTCAGCACGATCACATTTCCATCTTGTCCTGGTAGAGGGAAGGAAGGGATATGTGCCTCTTCTTCTAGTCTGTTTTTCTCCATCTGATTTTTTCCTTTGTGATGTTATGCACAGGCAGTAGGCGACAACCATGGAAATCATTACTAGATTGCCCTGGTCTTTATAGGGACTTGAACCATTTACCAAAAGGATTTTATGAAAGGACTGGCTCCCATATGTCCGGGTGAAAATCACTGGACTGTGCTTGAACCTTCTTATATCATTATTGTTTATCCAAAAGGATGAAAGGAAGAAAGATCCGGGACACCTGGAGGGATGAAGGGAAGGAGAGCTCCTCTGTGCCTGCCCTGCAGATTCCTTACCTGACCAGCCCGTACTCGGCCACAGATGTACCGCAAATTTTGCTGCCGAGCCAGCAGAGCCCAAGGGGTTTCCCTTCTGCCCCCAAAGCTTCTGCCATCTGCGGAGGCGGGGAGCTGCACGGACGGATTTTATTTTCAGGAAATCTCGACTGATACCATAGTTTTGCAGGTGGCAGCTGGGGCACTGCCAGTCCCTGCACGATGCATCCTGTCCAGCCTCTTCCACTCCCTCTCCGGAGGAGTTTTGATCTTCAGGTCTCTGTGTTCCTATCATCTTCAGGCAACACGGATGTCACGCAAGAGTTATGTCTGCCGAGACTTTGAGCTGAACATAGAATTGAAGGGAAGCTAGGTGGATAAGGATGCTTTTGGTCCTCTAAAATGGATGTTCTGCTAAATAATGAGGAATTTATCAAGTGTAAAAAGATCTGTTGTTGTTTATTTAGAAGTGTATTGTTCCCAGGCTTGTGCTTACCGTTCCTGAAGCTGACTTTCTCTCACTTCCAGGTTGTCATGCAGTGCTTGCTTTGGGCTCAGCCTGGTTTGGCTTTGCTCAGGTTTCCCCAGAACCTGGTTTTTTTGGTTTTCTTTTTTTTTCAGAGGCACATCTGGGCAGCCGGTGCATGAGACCCCAGTCCACTGTGCCCTTGCCTGGAGGTGGCCCAGGGCATTCCCCGCTGGAGCAGGGCCAGGACAAAACTCGCTGTGACACCCCTGGTGTGTACTTCTCCGGGTGCCCACCACCCCTCAGGGCTTCAAACACTTTTCTTCTTCCTAAACTGCTGTAATTTAGGCAGTGTGTGTGGATTAAGACACCAGACCTCAGTAACCTCCATTTCCAAATGAAACACTCCCTGCTGCAGAACTTCCATAGCCCTGCCGCAGCTCTTGCTGAAGGCAGGGGGAAGATGGAGAGGGTTGGCCACTGAAAGTGCAGGTTGTCTTTGCTCGCCTCTTTCTTCAGATAAAGCAACGG